ATATATAAAATATAGGCCAGCTTGGGAGCAGCATCTAGCTGTATTTGGCTAATTTTGAAAAACTAAGCAGGTTCAGGGCTGGTTAATATTTGGGTGGGAGATTTCCAAGAAATATCAAGACTAGAGGTTGGAAATAACGTCCCAGGATAAAGCAGTGGTGAACCACTTCCAATTAAGTATTACCAAGAAAACTCTAGGAATATGTCCATGAAGTCACCCAAAATCAAGGTCAATTTGAATATGATACTATCTATATAAATATAGTTATTATCATAGTGTTAGGCACTAGCCTTTATTTATTTGTTTACCCAAGTTCAGAGAACCAAATAAACTTGAGACGAGGCTTTTAGTTAACAGAAGTTTTATTAGCCAAGAAACATTCTGGATGGCTCATTCAACACCGTGGTAAGGTGTTGAGGAGAACCACACCTTGCAAAGCAAGCAACAAAGATTTTATAGGCATTTACAAATGTAATCAGATCATACATCGCCTCATGTCCATATAAAGGATTTTTGGGATGGTCCAGGGAGGAGTAAAGGTGGGCCCTAAAGAGGTGAACCTAAGTTTAACTTTTTTCTTCTGGTAACTTTTTTCTTCTGGTAACTTTTTTCTTCTGGTAACTTTTTTCTTCTGGTTACCAAGGGAATAGCCCATGTCGGTCCTTATCTCTTCTTTGTTCCTCTTTGGAATTTCAAGGTCTCTTCTGGCAGCTTTCCTTTCCTGGCCCCAAGCTGATTTACAGCTTGCTTGGTTCAAAGACAGTCAGGCATCTGGCTAATTGCTTCTAAAGGAAATTGGGTGGGGGAATGGTGTGCTCTTTACAAAGCAAGTTAACCCTTTATAAGTAAGATAGAGTGCACTGTCACATGCATGCCCACACACTACGTGAAATATATATATATATGGAATATAAAATCATATATCAAAACAATGCCCTTCAATAGTATATTTTCATATACCATATACTAATGTATTTTTTGTATATGACCTATTCATTTGTGTGTATGTGTGCGTGTTTGTGTGTGTGTGTGTTGTATATATTAAGATGTTACATGACTGATGATTTCTGGTTCCCCCATGTTAACTCTCCCCCCAATTGCTTTTCTGTGATGGTGGATACTGGTGTTCTGCCTTAGCTGAGAGGTGGGGCCTCATGGCTCCTACTGATGTTTATGCAAAATGCCACAAAAATCAAAGCAAATCAAAGATCACGTCTAAGATCTTGGATTGCATCACTGCAATTAGATATCCTACATTTTTCTGTATTACTATGATGTAACTACTTGGATTTGAGGAGAATGAATTTCTGCATTGGGTTTTCCTCCAATCTTACTGATAGATCATAGATTCCACCATAGTCATGACTAAGCCTAATATTTTGTTTCTTACTTCCTCTACCCCCTCAGTAGCTAAAAGGTTAGGAAAAAAGCCTGAATGTTCTGTTCTAAAACGTTGATTAATTCTTAATCTTGCCTCATAATTGGTGCTGGTCAATTTTTATGGCTAGATAAGATTCTGATGTGATTGGATCTAGTTTTAGGACTTTGATTTATTAGGCTATGCCTCATAATTGAACTCCTTCCTTTTTTTCTTTTTGTTTTAACAGGTTTGTAGTTATAGTTGTGCAGATTGGACAGTGCCCACATGGACAGGTTAGTGTGTACCTATTTAATAACAGTGCAAAATGTTGATGTATAGATGTATATAGATGTACAGTATATAGATCCTTTATTCAACAGATCTATCATCCCTATCCCTTATCTATCTATCTATCTATCTATCTATCTATCTATCTATCTGTCTGTCTGTCTGTCTGTCTATCTGTCTATCTATCTATCTATCTATCTATCTATCTATCTATCTAATCATCTATCATCTATCTATCATCTATCTATATCAGTCATAGTGGTAAGTACAGTATAGTCTCCAATTTATAAATGTCCATCTTGGCTATCTTACAAGTCAGCCACCTCTATCCTCCTGTATGTTAGATTACAGTCCTCTCAATCCCAATATTGGCATGGGCAATGGCTATATTGTCTGAGTGTAAAGTGGAAGCTGTAACTGAACTCTTGCTGAGGGCAACCAATTGGAAAAGCTGCACCAGGCCTTCAACTGTACTTACCCAAAAGGAAGATGACCAACCTAAAAGGAAAGATTAGACAGGATCAGGAAACAAAAGATCTACTTCCATGATTGTATTCTTGGGAAAACCCAAGATGTTTCTCCATTCTAAAAACAAATTATCTGCAGGGGGGTGGGGGGGTGGACAAGCCTTCCTTTCAGGTAGACACTGGAATGCACATACTTGGTTAGACACAGCTACTGTCCCTTACAGTTGTTCAGTGTCCTCTTATGGAACTCATGTTTAATAGCAGGAGATTTTCAGCTGGTGATAGAGAATATGATAGGGCTATTCTTCTAACTGAAGGAATTTGATTTTAAAAGTTTAGTGCAAATCAGATGAAATTCAAATACTGGGATGTTTGCTCTACTGCAATGAAGTTGATAAAATATTGAATTTTCAACACTTTCCCTGAGTGCTCAAAACATCTGAGAATATATTTGCTTGGAAGTACTTACAACTTTATTGAGTAATATAATAATCTTATTTTCATGCTTGGAAATAGAAGCACTATGTATGCCACTTTGAGCTCCAGAAGGAAAGGTAGCATATAAAATAGATAGATAAATAAATAAATAGGGAAGAAAGGTGGCTTGAAGCAAGAGAATGCTCAGTGTTCTGACTTGCCTGAGTCTCCATGGTGAATTTGAAAGCAAAGTGAGACTCATATTGGGGGCTTCCTATTGTATTGTCCATTGTATTAATTGAGAGGCCTCTAACTTTTCCAGGACAATAGGCATAATTTAAAGAGCAAACTTATAAAATGGTGGCCATGGTGTTTGTACCAATCACAAAACACCCATGTATCAGAAGACAAACAAAGCAACTCCACCATTGTCATGTCTAAGAATGCCTTTGGGATCTAAATGTGGCCTAGACACCCTGCTGGATCCAGAGTATATACCTGAGGCTTGGTTTTGTTTTGCAGCATGCTAGCTTTGACATTATTTTTTTTAACAATGAAAACACAAATGCAAAAAAAGAAAATCAGGGAGGACCGGGAGCTTACAGGTTGCCAAGGAACAAAAGAGAACTCCTTTACATCCCTGAGTGTGATACTGAAGGCCAAAATCTTAGTCATGGTTGCTACAGCAGCTAGGTTGTAGAGCTGGCTGACATCCAGAGGAGAGCATTATTATTTTTTTTTGCACATTTGTACAGAATCAGGCTCCAATATGGAGCATATACTATTGTGGCTACAAATGTTGCTAGTTAGCAGGCTTTTCCTTTAAAGTCTCTTAACCAGTTATTTTTCTTGCTCCTCAACTGCAAGGAGAGAATTGCTGTGCAAAATAATTCATCCCTCATTAAAGCAAAGACTTCTGATTTCCATAGCCTGTTCAGTTTTTTTGAGGATACTGGAGAATAGTGAGAAATGGCTGTTTCCCTGATGGATAAGTCTCTTTTACACTTCCGGCAATGTAACTGTCCCTGTCCATCCAGCTCTTCTTCACTTGTCTCTCAGGTACACCATCAAAAACGATGCAGGGTACTTCCTTTATGGGGAAAAAGGGAGGTATGAGCAAGTGCCATCATGTAACTCTAAGATGTTTCTACGTAGCTCCAGATGCGGCCCAGTCAAAGATGTAAAAAGACTCTCAAAGTGTGCCTTGCAGAGGTTCCAGCTAACACAAATAACAAGGAAAACCTTTCTCATCAAGCCAGCGTGTTTTAGACATGTTTCAAGTTGGCACCTGCAAAGCCACTTATGGATTTGCTGGCAGACAAACTGAGGGCAGAAGGCCAGCCGTTCTGCTGAGCTCTGAAAGCTCCAGATTGATTCAGAGCCTGCGGTCCAAGTGCACATTCAAAATGTGAATGCTGATGCTCAGAAGGAAGAGAGACGTGGCCAGCTTCTGCTGATGGGAACATAATGGGATCCTGTGGCCGAAGGGCTAATTGTTAGGAGTCAGTCTGGCATAGAAATGATTCATTGTAGCACCAGCGGATAACAGCTTGATTCTACTTTTCTCTGCACAGATTTTGGGGGATTATGAGAAGATCATTTTCTATTGGCCTTCCTTGGTCTGCCAGCTTTTCCTGCTAGGGAAATTTATTCACATGTTAATAAAAGTGTCATGGGCCCAACTCCAGACAGGACTTACAACTGTGAGTATTCTGGTCATTTTCTGCTCCTTTGCATTCCGTGGGTCCCTTTGCAGGAGTGAGTATCCTGCGTCCTCCAGATGTTGCTCAGGAACAATGTCCAATATTCTCACATTGCCCAAGCTAGCTGGGAGTGTTGGACATTAGAATTCAGCAGGGTCTGGAGGGCCACAGGGCCCCATCTTTGTTTTGGAGGATCTTGAATTATTTTCAATTTACACATCTAATTCTGAGAAAAGACGATGGCACTTTCTTACTAACAGCCACAACAATTTTTTTTTATGCAACACTTATTTTTGGGGTTGCTTTATACATAATATGTGAAAGCTGATTAATCAGGTAGTCCTTGGTTAATGACCATTCATTCAGTGACCGTTTGAAATTACAGTGGCACTGAACGAGTGGTACTTACAACTGGTCCTTGAAGTTCCAGCTGTCACAGCACTCCCACAGTCATATGATTGTCATTTGCAACCTTCCTTGCCAGCTTTCCACAAAGTCAATGGGAAGCTGGCAGGGAAGATCGCAAGTTGCTCCTGGAAGTTGCTCCTGCTCCTCCTGTTTTTTTCTCCTAAGGAGCCCCACTACAGAGTTCGAGATCCCGTTTCCTGTCCCAGGCCAAGCACACCCAAACACACACGGGCAGTTGCAAACTTTACTGATAAATCTGTGAAGTCAATAAACAAAGGCAAAGGAAATGTGAGTGCAACCGCACATGCGCACACAGCAGAGAAACAAGTCCCCCAAAGTCCAGTAAGCTTGCCTTAAGAGAGTTCCAGTCCAAAACAGAAGGCACAAGAGTGGTCAAGCGAAGTCCAAGGGTCCAAACTTGTAGAAAGTTCGTCAGTTGGTCCAGGTTCAGAGTCAAAGTCATGAGGCCTCAGGTTGGGAGTCAAGGCACATGGCTTCTGGGTAAATAAATGGTTGTTGCCAACGGAGAGGCATGCGCTTGCTGCTCTTCTTAAATAGGAGCAACCCCAGTGTTCCTCATTTGGAAGGGCGAGGCTCCTTTCTTGCAAGGAGCCTTGCAGAGCGTCTTTGCACTGGTCTCTTCTCTGCATGGTGAGCCCTTGCACTGGCGGTTGGTGGCAACTCAGACTCCTCATCTTCAGAGACTGGTGGCAGCTGTGCCTGCTGGTTACCGGACAGCCCCACCTCCTCTGTCTGCAGCTCCTCAGGCAGCAGTTCGTCTGGCAACTCTGGAATTGGCTGCTTGTTGTCGGTCTGAGATTGCCATGACATCCTGGGGATCTCGTACTCTGTAGCGCGTACCTGCCTGCAGCAACTTCCCATGCACCTGCCCACCCTTCGTAGCAACCCCCCGCTGCCTGGCCATGCTTGCACCAGGCTGCAGCACCCTCCCTGCCCGCCTGCACTCCATAGCCCTCACCTGCCTGCTTGCCTGCTTGCAAGCTGCCTAAGGAAAGGTTTGTTGGAATTTACTTTGCTTGTTGGAAGCTGACAGGAAGTTGCAAGTCCCGGTCATGTGAGGTCCTCGCTTAACAACCCACAATCCTCACTTACCAACTGCAATGGGGACTGCCAGGATTGCCATCACTAAGCAATGCAGTCCGGTGACGTCACACTTTATGACTGGATCACTTAGTGATGGAAATTCTGGTCCTAATTGCCATCGTTAAGTGAGGACTACTTGTATCAGCTTTCAGTCAAGTTCTTCAGATCGATTGCTCACCTTTTTTTGTATTCACATAGACATTCTTTTAGATTGATTGATGGTGCATTTGGTCCTGCTGAATTTATATTTATTTTTTATCTTCTTGCGAAACTGTCCCAGGAAAAGTGGGAGGCAGTAGTTGGTGACGTTGCAGGCAGTAGCACCCATCATTGCTTCCATCTCCCCCTGCCATACACAAATATTTTGTGGATGGTGAAGATGTTTTTCAAGATACTTTTAATACAATGGCACATTTTTATAGTCACTCTAAATATGAATTAAATGTTGGACATTCCTGTAACTGTACCCATTTTCTTGGAAAAGTGCTGGCAGACAGCTTTTTCGAAAGCCTTTAAAATGTTTTCTTTTCTCCCAGAGATAACAGTATTGAAAAGAGAAGCGCAATTCTATAGGATGGATGGACACACACACACATACACACACCTCCCTGCCCCAGATTCCTCAAAACATTCTTGATTCTAAGTTGTGTTCTCTCTAACTGGTCACCATTCAGAAGATCCTGTTCTTTATTCCTAGTCTGACAATTGAAAGGTGTAAGCCCTGGAATAATAAATAATTCTTTTACCTTCCCTGCAGGACAACACTACTTTACTGGAGACCCATCAGGCTCACTATGTCCAGCAATTGTTGAGAAAACCTCCACTGCAGTGAGGACAGTCATTTTGTTTAAGGAACATTTCTTAGGATACACCAAATGTTGTTAGTTTCTAGGGGCAGTTCCCTCATAATCCATATTTTGTTTTCTGGGGAATAAACATATATATGTAAATGAGCACTAGCCTCTTCTTCCCTTCCTCTTCTATCAAGGCGCTGAGTATAGTGGAAAGAGGGAATGACCTTGAGGGACAGGAGGAATAGCTGCTACCAAGACAACAGTCAGATAAAAGAAATCTGAGTCCAGGACAGAACTATAATTTGAGAAAACATCTCAAACAAGGCCCTCCCTAGTTCACATGAAGATAAAGGAAGGGAGTGGGGAAGCACATTCAGACTTGCAAGATTATGTTACTATATCTTTATAATAAAAGTAATATTGGCCTGCATGTCTTTGGTTTCCTAGTCTGGTCTAACTTGAAGGGCTGACAGTAAATAATCTCAAGCAATGACCTAGCCATTGATGTGGGGAAAGGGACTTAGAAATACACGTCTTTGTTTTCATTTGGGATATACTGACATATCTGGATGAAGATATTAGTCATGAATAGCTATCTTGGTGGTGCCCTTAATATCTAGTTCTGAAAGGGATTGGCAGGGCCAGATTAAGACCAACTGATGCCCTAAGCACAGCCCAATGATGCTGCCCTTCTGCCCTTCCATTGCTCAACTGACCAGACATTAAGACTCAAACTTTTAAACTTTACTTACTCACCATGCCAAAAAACACCTCCTTTTTTAACTATGCAGATTAAAGCCAGACATGGTAGTTAAGGACAATGACAGAAAAATTGGCTTAAGTCTCATGTGGCAGTGAAAGAATTAAGGCAGTGTTTCTCAACCTTGGCAACTTTAAGATGTGTGGACTTCAACTCCCAGAATCCCCCAGCCAGCATGTTGCCTG